ATGGGGCAACCACAGCTTCTGTGAGCATCCTGTGCCAGTGTCTCTCCAAATGCCCAAATGTGTTCTCTTCTGTACCTAATTGGGAGCTGAATGCCTGAACGTGTGAGTGACAGAGAGACTGGATGCCTCTCTGAGCTATCAGGATGCTTTCATTAAGTATTCATAATATTTAGATTAGGTTCATATTTTTGAAAGCTGTTCAGCTTGGGAAAACTGCTATTGTCTGAGTGTTCACATTTCTAGATTTTTAACATAGTATCTTCTAATGTGCTGTGGAGTTGGAAAAAAGCCAACAGTATTTTTATCAGCAACCCAATTTATTGAAATTTAAGTTATGTTATCCAGCAAACAAGAGGAAAAGCTTTCTTTTCTTTTGAGGAACTTGAAGTCTGGATGCTTGAAAGTGCTTATTTATATGTAGTGTGTTTCAGGTTTTGCATTATACTCTTTACAAACAATATTTGAGAAGGCTGATTTAATCCACCCGAATCAGATATTTGTGGATGAGTCATTTGAGAAAGATGGATGGAATTTTTCGTTTTGCTTTTTCATTTTTCAACATATGCAAGAATCACTGCGGACATGGCCGTTAAAAGTTTAGACACCAGTGTGTCTAACTTTTTGAATGGTGAGATCTTCAATAAAAATCTAATTTTGTGAATGGCATTGCAGAAATAATTATGGCAAATTGCTGCCACTAGAAGGGACATAGAAAAATCTATGCCAGCTTCACTTTCCCAAGCCAGAGTGTCAGTCTAAGGTTGTTTGGGCTGCTAATTAGGAACATTACTCTCAGAAGAGAGGCACACTAAAGGCAGTGCTGCTGCAAGATTTCACTCACAGCCTGTCATTTATGTGTGTTTTAACACTGTTTACCTGCTCTCTCCATTGCTGGCTACTGTAGAAAAACAAGGGCTTGCTGCTCCTTGTCTTGTTCAAAACTTGGCTTTTTACTCAAGTGAGGGCAAAGTCTATCCCCAAGTTATTTGCTGTTGTTCTTTGCAATAAGATTTGTTTATTCCTGTCTAAATACACAATTTCATATCTTTTTTTCCTTTTTTTTTTTCTTCTAAATAGATAATAAATTAACTACGCCTGGCCATGCCTGGCTCTTTTACTATTTGCCTACCCATACAGTTCACAAATACTCAGCTGCTAAAATCCCAGCTTTCAGTCAAAAAATTAAAGCAGCTTTCTAGTCATGGAAAAGTAGAATGGATATATGTTGAAAGAAACCCTGAATGTTGAGAAAACATAGGGAAAGGCAGATGGTCTCAAATATCTTGTTCTGTTTTTTCTGTTACCTCATTTTTTTCTCATTTTGGCTTCCAGATAGATAGATAGATAAATGGATGGATGGGTGGATGGATGGATGGATGGATGGATGGATGGATGGATGGATGGATGGATGGATGTTTCTTCCTTTTGTTTCTGTCTCACCTCTTCTGTCTCAGTGGGAAGCAGGAGATCCTTCCTTAGTCAAAGTACAGTGAAACAAACTCTTCCTCTCTCAGGGCTGTTTATGAAAGTACCTCTGGAATGCCAAAGGTCACTGCCATACCAGGGTGTAGCCTAAGCAGGTGTGAACATGGCAGGGAGATCTGCAGGTGTTGCCCTTTGGGGAAGGGGCCAGGACATGACTCTTCCTGGCATGAGGCACTTGAGCAGCTCCACCCTGGATCCCTGGGGACTGCACTGACATCTTCCATGTGTTAGGATGCTCATTAAAGAAATGTTAAGTTCCTGGAAGTTTTATTACAACTTGTCCACAGTGTTTATTCCCCTAGCATATGGCCAGCTGTCCAAACAACTGTTACACCCTCCTCACACCCACCCAGCTTCTAGAAGAGAATAAATTAAAAAAGTGGCACTTTGCAGACCTGATTACTTGCGACACACTGAGTCCTCCTTGCAAACTGGAAAGATACACCCACCACTTTTTAAACCACTTCTCCAACTGCTTCTCCTTCTCTCATCTCCCCTAAGCAAGCCCAGATTACAGCATTAAATTCCTTTGTGGAAGTTTGGATGTTACATTCATTCAAAAGAGAGATAGATTGGCTATGGAAGAAAAAGTGGTAATTCAAAGTAATTATTCCTTTAAGATCAATTCTTGTAAGAGAAAAACCCCCCAAGATTTTTGTGTCAAAAGATTATTGTTTCTAATCTTTCTTCAACATCTGGGAAAAATTAAATCTGTTAACATAAAGCATTTTCAAATAGATATTGCAAATATACATCAATTTTGGGAAAGTGCAAGCAAGAAATCAATATTGATTTATGTATACATATATAGAGAGCATGTAAGGATAGGCCGAGGGGCAGTGGCCTCAAGATGAAAAAGAGTAGGTTTAGATTAGATATTGTGAATTTTTTTTTTTTCCCTGTGAGGGTGGTGAGGCACTGGCACACTTTGCCCAGAGAAGTTGTGGTCTCCCCATCCATGGAGGTGTTCAAGAGTAGGTTGGATGGGGCTTGGAGAAACCTGGTCTAGTGGAAGGTGTCCCTGCCCATGGCAGGGGGTTGGAATTATATGATCTTTAAGATCCCTTCTAATCCAAACCATTCTAGGATTCTATGATCATACCGTATCACCTAATTTCCTGTAAAGGAAAGGTCCTAAAGCATGCTCAAAGAGAAAGAATGAAACATGGTTCTAAATTCCCATATTAATTTGCAATGAAATTGTCACACCTTGAGCCTTGAGTAGATTTCCAAGTTCCTTTTGGAAATCCTCACTGCAGTCATGTCCTGAACAAGGAAAACTTTAATATATAAGGCAATAGAAGCTAAGTTCTTTCCCTTAAAATAGTAAGAAGTTGTGTATCTCCTTCATTTTTATGAGAAACATATGGAGAGTGCAATGAGCAATTTTAATTTTAATTATACTTCATCCAAAATCATTCCCCAGTTCACTCAGAAGTTTCTCAAAAGACTCCAACAACCCTTGTAAGTTCCACTGAGTAGTTTGCTTCGATCATTTCTCACATTACAAACAAGGAATGTTTATGCTGAAGCATAAAAATGGAAAAAGTTGACTAAATTTTGTTTCTTCATCATCTGGGAAAAAAATGACATCTGTTAAGATAATAGTGTTTTTAATAGGAAGTGCATGTGTAATGTCCTTGAATGCAACAGTAATATAAATACAAGAACATGTTACTGCTTTTCCCTCTCTTCTGCTAACTGAATTCTTGTGCAATTCTTGATTTGAATAGAAATAAATGTAGTAATTCATACAGTACAAGATACATGTTTGAAAATCAAAGTGAAAGAAGACATTCATATGGCTCTGATTTCATAAGCTATGAAAAGCTATGGCTATGCAGCATAAATTTCCAGTACCCTTTGAAGATTTAACTATGTTCTTATGAAATTGCTATTTTCTCTAGAGGTCTAATAATATTTGTGTGTTTAAAAGAAATAGAAAAAGTTTACTTCCAGCTATACTTTAGCTAGTGCCTATAGTCTACATAATGTCATTAACTTGAGCAGAATTCAAACTGTATGATGTCTTAACTATTCTTTATGAAGTCCTTAAGAGGAAATCCTAGTTTTTAGAAAGTAATAAAGGAAGGATAATCACATTTGGCAGAAATGCTCCAAGGAAACCATTATTAATATAGGAAAAAAACCTTCCAAAATATATAGAAGATTGCTCAGAATAAATATGTGTGTTTTCAAGGGGGAACATTTCTTTTTAGAGACTTCTGAAAATGTGTGAATGAAAGAAAAAAAGATTAATTACTTTAAAGATGTGAGAGGACTAGACATTTGCACATAGTGGGGTTTATGTATGAATCCAGAAATAGGCATGAAATGAATTCAGTGACTTCTTGAGTACAAGAAGTTATATATATATTTTAAAAGTCCCCAGTGCAACCAAAGCCTTATCTCTATGGTATACAGTGCATGCAACTTGTGTGATAACTGGAGAGCCTTTCACAACAGCTTAATGCATCACTGCTAGCAAACCCATGGAGATTAAACATGGGATTCATAAAACCCTTATCTGCTGGCTGAGTGGATCTTTCATGTAGAATATCATTTGATGGTGGAGTGGACTTGGACAATCCTTTATAAGCTTCTCTTGTGACAAACTGGTTGTGTCCAATGCCCTGCAGAGGGCATGGACAAAGCAGACAAAAGGCTAACCAGATCAGTGGTATCTGCAATGCACAAATGCTACTGTGTGTTGCATGTCCAGGTTAATTACTAGAGGACAGAGATGTACTGCCCTCAGAAAGTCTATTTTTGAGAGGAGTCTTCTTTGCACAGTAGGACATCTCTCTTCCATGTCATGCAATAGACTTCTGAAGAGAAATGTGGATTAATGTGTCTCTTTTTCTGGAAACTCTCTGATTAAGTCTGGAAGCATATCATGCTTTGGAATGAAGGAATTACAAGGAATGACAAATAACAAGGAGTGCAGTTGTTATGAGCCCAAATCTCTGAGATAGCTTGTGCTGCTGGTATCTCCATGCCCTTCCCAAAGGCAACCTGCCAGGGAAGGGAAATTGGGGAAAGATTTTAAGAGCTGCCAATGTTTTTTGAAGTCTATCACAAAGGTTACAATGTGATATTGCTTCTGGATGTTTCACTTTTCTTGGATGGCTGAGCAACCTCAGTTTTAACTTTTGATCCAAATGGTTATCTTTAATATGCCCTTCAATTAATATTCCTTGTTTTCCATATAAATCCCCTTTTTAGTGCCATTTGTTGTGATATGTTAATGAGCAACTAAGGAAAGAACAGAGCAAACATTTTATAACTGTGAGTATTGTTACATTAACAAATCCAATAACCTGTGTGTGATATGCCTTTCAGGTATATATCACATTGATCTAAGAATAGGTACTTTTCTCACATGCTAAGAAGAAAACTGTGCCCTCCTCCAGCAGCTGCTTCTTAACCTTGTTCCTTTTCATCCACTTCCCAGCGTACAGAAATCTTCTAGAGCTCATTGCAGGAATTTAGTTGATAGTTTTATTTCAACAAATGTTTAAAAAATAATCCCTTTTCAAAAGTCTCACTGAATTCGTGAGCCCTAGTTTTATTTCAACAAATGTTTAAAAATTAATCCCTTTTCAAAAGTCTCACCGAATTCGTGAGCCATAAAACTTTCATTCCATGAATCAAACTTCAGAAAATAATAAGCATATCAGAAATGCCTAAACTAGTATTGATTTCCAGAGGACAAAGTTTTCTTCTGGTATTTTTAAAAGCGTATCCTATATTTTGCTGGGACAAGGGAAAAGAAAGTGTTTCTTTCCTTTTGTCTATAATATGTCAGTGCTCACATATGTCTCACAGTGCACCTGACATTGGCATCCTCTGGAGGTTGGATACTGGGCTAAATGGAGCATTCCTTTATTCTGGCTCAGCAGATCTCTCTAATAGGAGCTATCAAAAGAGAAGAGGTATAATATTCACTTTGAATTAAAAGGGAGATGAATAGCAGAAGGACAGGAATAGGAGAGAGGAGACAGCAGTGAACTATATAATGGGACATCTGAGGTGGAATACAGCTGTTATTCCTGGTATTGCATTGAGTAAATCTTGTTTAAGTCACCTGCACTTTGAAGGACAAAATCTGAGTCTCCATGTCTGTTTTATGTATTTAGGAAGTGCCTGACTCATAAGCCCTCAGACATTGTCAAAAACTTAATGACTACAATTTTTGGTCAGTCAGGTTTACTTTCTATTCTCCAGTGCAGAGTGTAAGGGATGGTAGCAACAGCTTTGTGGTGGATCGTGGAGAACAAACTGTGCTGGTTTGAGCTAAAGTAGAGTTAATTTTCTTCACAGTTACCAGTATGGGGCTATGTTTTGGATTTGTGCAGGGCACAGGGTTGGTGGTGCAGGGATGTTTTTGTTATTGCTGAGCAGAGCTCACACAGAGCCAAGGTCTTTGCTGCTTTCCATACTGCCACACTGGCAAGGAAGTTGGGGATGCATGGGAGACTGGGAGGAGACACAGCTGGGACAGGTGACCCAAACTGACCAAAGGGATATTCCATACCATATGACATCATGCTCACTATATAAGGTGGGAGGAAGAAGGAGGAATAGGGAAACATTTGGAGTGATGGCGTTTGTCTTCCCAAGGAACCATTACACGTGATGGTCCCTGCTCTCCTGGAGATGGTTAAACACCTCCTGTCTTTGGCAAGCAGTGAATTAATTCCTTGTTTGGCTTTGCTTGTGTGTGCAGCTTTTGCTTTCTCTATTAAACTGTCTTTATCTCAACCCATGAGTTTTAGCTTTTACCCTTCTGATTCTCTCCCCCATCCCATGGGTTGGGGAGTGTGTGAGTGGCTGAGTGATTCTTCATTACTAGCTGGGGTTAAACCACAGCACAAACCTAAAAATTCCATTCCAATTAAATATCATTAATATTGAACTTTGAAAGCATTTAACAGGAAATATTGTATTAATTGAATGATTGTTCATTTAAGAGTAACTAATTCTGTCTGACAGGGTGGTGTCAATGTAGTACTGTCAACAAGAATAGGAAGGAAAGAAATCTTAGTTAAATGTAATTGATAAAGTTATGGTCTTTGCATTCTTTATACTTTTGCTTGCTATAACAGTGAGACTTTGTATGGAAAGGTCAATTGACTTAGAAGAAAAATGCAGGATTTAGTGTTCATTTAAGAGTAACTAATTCTGTCTGACAGGGTGGTGTCAATGTAGTACTGTCAACAAGAATAGGAAGGAAAGAAATCTTAGTTAAATGTAATTGATAAAGTTATGGTCTTTGCATTCTTTATACTTTTGCTTGCTATAACAGTGAGACTTTGTATGGAAAGGTCAATTGACTTAGAAGAAAAATGCAGGATTTAGAATTACTGAACTTTGTATGGAAAGGTCAATTGACTTAAAAGAAAAATGCAAGATTTAAGAAAAAATTACTGAAAGTCATTACAGGATCCCACAGGGACGAGAACTGATTGCTTTAAAGAGTTTTGTTTGGTGGCTGTGAAGTTACCACAGTAAGCTGAGAAGGAAAATTCCCATGTTGTTGTTAATATCTCTTTATAAGTGTCACACAGTTACCTTAATGCTACTTTTTGTGTTAGTTGTCAGAAACATGGCAGCATCCAGATTTCTCAGAACTACGAAGTAATTCAAATGAAAATGAAGGAATGTACATTCATATCTGCTATTGCATACATTGGTTTTAGAAATGCATATCTAGCCACAGGGTTTTATCATGTCTGTGAAATATTTGTGACCTGTGTCCTCTCAGACATAACTAAGAAACTCTTACAAGTTTTACCAGTGTGGCATCCTTACAGTGTGAGAGACATCCTAGAACACTAATTTCAGAACCTGAGTAGTTCCAGAGCTTCCTTCCCCCTGTGGTCTGTGTTTCAGCTCTGTTTTACAGGTGCCCCATCATTCAGTGATGTTGCATCTGAATATGCCCTAAAAAAATAATCACAATGACAAACTTTAAATATTTACAAGAACTCCAAATAAATGTGTATCTTTAATGGTGATGAAGTTGCAATCAGACTTTTGTACCTAAATAGGAAAAATTCTCAGATTTGTGTGTTAAGAATGGGATTCCTTATTATTTACCATATCATATCTGTAAAAACAGCTGGAGCTCTTTAAGGGAGTAGAGCATCTGCTCGGTGAGGCAGCTAACAGCTTAGTTATTTGTATTGCAAGTGCACTCCTGAGCTTCTTTTTCTTCCTTTTCTTTTGGCAGATGTACAGCAAATAGCAATCGACTGGATCACAGGGAATTTTTACTTTGTGGATCATGTCAGTGACAGGATCTTTGTCTGCAGCCACAATGGATCAGTGTGTGTCACCCTCATCGAGCTGGATCTTAATAACCCCAAGGCCATAGCTGTTGATCCAACATCAGGGTAAGGTTATTTATCTGCATTAGAATTTATTTTATGAGATGCATCGTTGTCTCTGACTGCATATGATAAACCTGTTTTGTTCAGGTGTTTTAAAAACTGTTTTTTTCTTTGTTGCATTGAGTTACTTGCATAGTTCCTGTAAGAAAACAGTAATGTGCATGAACTTGTAGCAAATAGTTAACTATAATAACATAATAGTTAACAATATTAATTGCAATTACGTGCCTTGTAACTTCTTAAAATGGAATTGAAACCAAGAAAACAGTTTTATCACTCTGTGTCATAAAATTGCCTTTTGCCTCTGCTTTTCTGCAAATTGTGTTTCTAATGAGAGTATGTGGAAAGAGAACTTTTGCAGGGATTTTATGCTGTATCCCCTCAGTTGCAGGAGCATTGCAAAAGGGTTTAACAAGTTTATTTGCACAAAAGAAAGAGCGTAAGAATTTTTACTCTGTTTCAGAGAGTCAGCTACAATGGTAAAATTGCATTGTATTTGCTTTTTCTCTTCCATAGATAGCAGCATTCAGCATCACTTGGGAATAAAGCCTTGCTTAAAATACAGGGAACTGAATGTGTTCCATTCTCCACACTCACCAGCTGGGAAAAGTTTTCAAAGCAAATGATGGAGTAAAAACATAACTAAATAAGAATAGGAATAGGATCAGGTTAATCTGAAAGCTAAATTTTGGTAAGGATTTTCAAACAGGGATTTCCAGGTTAATCTGAAAGCTAAATTTTGGTGAGGATTTTCAAACAGTGATTTTATCTTGGTTTTATTAGTCAGTAAGTAGTTCAGACTGAAATGCCTGGTGGAATATGTCCTAAACTGCCATAAGCCCCTTCTCAATAAATACAAAAATATTTACTGTACAACAGCTTGTCATCCATATGTGGACTTTTGTCACTCTTTATTTAAAGCCTGATGGAATATTAAGATGCATCATCACAATGACTTAGATTGTGACAGGAACAGCTTGCATGTAAAGTTTACAAAGAAGTTTGATAATGTCATTCTTGGGCAGAGCTGTATTTCTCTCTGCAGCAGATGGTAAGCCTGACTCGATCTGACTGCACTGTTGTTTTAAAAGGAAAAGAAAAATTCATGTAGAAATCAATTTTCTGCAAGTTCTAATCTGAAAGAACTTGAAGCTTTCAAATTTGCCCCCAGCAGCCTTTTTTTTCTATACATTTCCTCATATATTCTTTGCTGGATTTACTAGATGAATTTCAAGCTTGCCATTAGCTAATCTTATGTGTCAGGGATGTAAGAATTGTATCCAAGCCTTTGGTTTTGTGAGAAGAGGTGGAATGGACAATGAGAGACTGTTTTCCTTCAATTGTTACTTGCTGGCTAACAAACTCTCCTTTCTTAGTGCCCTATCCAGGAGGAATATTGTCTGGTTTGGGTAGATGTGAGTATTGGCCTGTAGGAAAGGTCAGAAGTGCAAATGATATTTTACAGTGTGATACTTCATAAGCAATATCCATTTATTTCATGGTGGAAACACTGAGTGGAAGATTTTCTCTGAATATACATTTAGCATTTCAGCAGTTATTTCTGTACTGTTTTTATTGGCAGTTTTGTTAATTCTCTGACATATGTTGTTCTGTT